CCTCCTCCTCCTCCTCCTCCTCCTCCTCCTCCTCCTCCCAGGCATGCTCGCGTCGTGAAAAATCCAAACAAAAGGGGGCTGGCCGTTTCCGGCCTCTGGGGGCCCTCGCCAAGCCCCGGGACCTTCAAAGAATGACTCGGGACAAGAAGCCGGCCCTGGGCAGAGGGCCAGGACTTCCCGGGGCCGCGCCCTGAAAAACTCGGGACATCGCTGGTCCGGGCTCTCCCACTCCTCCCCCTCCGAGCTCGCCATCGCTCGGACGTCCATTCCCTGTGCTTTCTTCGGTTTCGTGCGTGGTTTTTCGCCAAATGATCAAGGATGCTCCTCGATGGTCCTCGCCGAAGGAAAAATGCACACGCCCGAGCGATGCCAAGCGAGCCAACACCAAGAGCCACCCGCCCGCTCGGTTCTTCCGGCGAGCCCCTGGCGGACCTCTGCGGCGTCCGCGGCGGTCGGGGCGTCCGCGGCGGGGGCGGCCTCGCGGCGGGTCGCTCGTCGTTCGTCGCTCGTCGCTCGTCGCTCGGCTCTCGTCGTCGCTCGTCGCTCGTCCTGGTCACTCGTCGAGCGTCGCTCGTCGTCTTTCGTCCTCCTCCTCCTCCTCCTCCGCCTCCTCCTCCTGCTCCTGCTTCTGCTCCTCTCATGGTCCTGCCCATCACCATCATAAAACGCTCGTTGTCATCATCGTCGTCATCGAGGTTGGCACCATCATCAACAACAACACCAACTATCGCCTCCATGGGCATCGTCGTTGTCGTCATCGGCTGTGGCGCAAGAGTCAGAATCATCTCAAGAATCCGCACCAATCTTATCGTGTCTGTCACCAATCACCGCCATCAGCCTTCACCATTCTTATCATGTCTGTCACGCGATCACCGCCATCATGCCTCACCGATCACCTATCATAGCCATCGTTGTTGACACCATCGTCGGCATCGGCATTGACTATCGCTTGTTCTTATGTTTGGGACATGGGGCTCTCGTCTTTCAAGAGGGTGCTCCCTGTAGCGAAAAGGAACACACGCAGGGACTCAAGAGAAAGGATTTAGGAAGAGAGGGGGTGTTGCAGAATCGTTGATGCTTACTGAGTTTACTCTGGTCCTCCTCCTTCTCCTTTTCATCATTGTCATCCTCAACTTCCTCCTCACCCTCCTCCTCCGCATCTTCATCGCTCCCCAATTATCCGTCTGCCTTGCCCGTTAGCACATCTGTATATCTGTATATAAATTGAGGAATGAAAAAAAGCGACCCTACCCTGGGTTACAAGTGCGCGGTCTGTAAACCTCCTGGGAACCCCCAAAGCCTAGAGCCGCCAGGACGCGGCACATCACGCAGGGTTTACCCTGTCAGTCCACAGGAGTTTCAGCGCACAGCGCCTCGTAAACCAGGGTAGATGCGTTTCTTCCTGCCCTTGAATATAACCGCCACGCTTCCAAAGTTCCTTGTACTCTGTATTCAGTAGTATAGTATTTTAAGCAGGGGCAGGGAGCCCCAAACCTCACATCCTCCCCGCATTATACCTTACCGAAGGCTAGAGGGCCTCGAGACGGGCCAGAGGGGGCCCCAGCAAGCCCCCAAGAGAACGCCGCAAGAGGCCTCGGAGACGGCCCGACAGCGCTCCAAGGCACCAAAGGTCCTCCTCCTCCCCCTCCCTCCTCCTCCTCCTCCTCCTCCTCCTCCTCCTCCTCATCCTCCTCCTCCTCCTCCTCCTCCTCCTCCTCCTAAAGGCCCCCAAGACGCCATAAGAGGGCTCCAAAGGGGCTCCAAGAGGCCCCCCCAAGAGGGCCCCGAAATACCAGCACCAATACCATGGAGCCCGCAGAGCGGGAGTCACGGCGGGCCCCCAGGGGGAAGCTTGCACGCAGATTTTGCAGCCAGCGGGTGTTAGAAATACTGACGTGGCGAGGGTCGGTACCTATCGTTGCAAGAATTCTTGGGGGCGAACTTGCGCCCGTCGGGTGATTACGCTGTCTGGGAGGCCAGCTCAAGGCCTCTTGGGGTCCATGAGGCACGACGAGCATGAGGGGTGTGCCGCATCGAAGCTCCAAGGAAACGTATCGGGGGCCAGCTGAGCGCCGAACATTCACGAAGTGAGTGAAGGGTGTACCGAATTGAGGTTCCCATCAAAACGGAACGGCGATTCACTTGTAATTTCAAGTCTCCCCAGAGCCTCGAGGCCCCAATCACTCGTCACTGCACGTGACCCAGGAACTTGAGAGCACACGGATCACTCGTATTTTCAGGTGTCTCAATACATTGCGGGGCAGGACGCGCGTCAGGGGTGTCTAGTCTTGATCCCTTCGTGGCCCTCGGAGCGCAGAGCACTCATAGTTCCACGTGTTCCTCCAATAGAGTGCGGAGCAGGAAATGCGTGAATGGCACGCCGAAATTGCAGTGTCGTAACCACGAAGGCGCTACTCATCCGTACTTTTACACGTTGCAGTGCAATGTCAGACAAGAATGCACCGAAACGAGGCTTTCGCTGCCCTGAGAGCGCAAACCTCACTTGTGTTTTTACATGTCCCACGAGCTGTCACGCGCGTGAACCTAGCGCTGGGGCACGTTGCACTCGTGTTGTTACGCGTCCCCAAGAGAACTGGGGGGAATCGGCTGGCGGCATGCGCATTCGTATTTTCACGGGTCCCCCCGAGAATTGATAAGAATTGACCTCATCGAACCATCTTCGAAACATCATCGAAACATCACCGACCAGCTGAATCCGCGAAGCCCCTCTCGGCATGCCTTGTGAATGCTTCTCACTCTCCTATATCGCATCCTCCGTCTCATCATCTACCCTTGACGGCTAACACGGCGAGGGCCCGCAGGTGGCCCGCCGAATTGAATTGAACGCCCCTGAGGGGGCAGACACCTCCGTCCAACTTTTTGTTGGAGCTTGGAATTTCCTTTTGGGGGAGTCCATCACGGCCCCAGGAGTTCCAAGAAGCCGCGGAGAAAAGACCAAGAAGATCCCCAGAGGGCCCCGAGAGAATCCCAAGGTGTCGAAAACGGCGGAGGAAACCGAAAAAGGAATTCAGAGGCAGAAAGGAGCACTGCCACATATTTTCGGGGCCTCAGAAAGCCATCCAAGTACCTCCTGGCTGCGCCCAAGACGACGACCCAAAAGGGCGCGAAAAGGGCGGCCAGGCGACTCAAGATGGGCCCAGGAGGCCTTCAGGACGGCCCGGGAGGTCTTGGGAGCATTCCAATGTGACCTGGGAGGCCACAAGAGTGTCGCAAGATGCTGGAAGAGAGCTCTAAGAGGCGCAAAGAGAAGGCCGAAGCGGCGAAAATCGTCAAAATCCCTGGGGGTTGGGAAGGTGTTTGGCTTCTCTCAAGGCTTTCGGCCGAACATGCCTCGAAGAAGGCCCCAAGAAGTGGCCAAATAGACCCAAGAGGGCGCCGAGAGGCTCCGAAGACTGCTCGAGAAGATTTCCGGAGAGGTCCCAAACCGTGCCCGGAGGCGTCCGGAAGTCTCCCGTGCGAAGGCCTGCCTGAGTTGAGGGCAAAATGACGGCCAGCGGACGCCTGGGGTGCAGCCCCGGCCCCTGGCCCGGCGGAATGAGCAGGCCGCGGGGAGGAGCTCTGAGGAAGGGCATGGGTACGAGGAGCAGTGCGCGTGCAAGGTAGGGAAACGAACTCTATACACCGACGCTTTTCCCGACCCTGCGCTGAAATTCGCACAGGAACGCGAATTCTGGTGTGTACGGGACCCTGGTGTATACATTTTTCGCTGTTTTCCCGGGACATCGGGGAAAAAAGTATACACCACACCACCCCAGCGTCGTCCCCGACCCTCAAAAAGTACAGCCCGCCACTGGTAATGTATACGTTCCAGTTTCCGACAAGGGGTACGAGGAATAGTGCGCGTGCAAGGGGCTGAGGGGAAAGAATTCGTGCAGACCATGCGGCGGGGATCTCACACGCCGGTACCCGGTGGGGGGGGGCGGATCGCTTCGCTCATTCCGCCGGCCCAGACGGTCCCATGGCATGCGTCTGCCCCGCGCCTTCGTCGCCACGGCGCATCCTGGATCGTCTTGGTAATTTTAAGGACTCCCAACTTCGCGCTGCGCGAAGCGCGAAGTGCGAACAACTTCGCGTTCTCGCGAAGCCTCCCGGGGGAGGAGGATGAGGAATCGGAGCCGAACCGCGAAGCGCGAAGCGCGAATAACTTCGCGCCCTCGAGGGCGCCCTTGTAATTTGCAGCTCAAGTGGTCCCGTCTTTGGGACTGAGGGCTCAAAGGATCTCAGGACACGCCAACTCGTGTCTTGAACAGGGTGGCGGATATGGCCGCCCAGCTTGGCGGCCAAACTAGACGACCACTGCCCCAACCAACTACCCAGAGTGGAGGAGAGAGGGAGAGAGGGAGGAGGGGGGAGGGAGGAGGAGGGGGGAGAGGGAGGAGGAGGAAAGGAGGGGCGCGCCCAGTGTACAGGTCCTATCGACGCTAGAATATCGGACGCTCTCGCTGGGGTTACTTAGCCGCAGACATCCTTCAGACCCAAATTCAGAGTTTGTCCAGAGATCTGCCCTGCGGGGATGCGGTTCACACGTGGCTGCCTGTGCCTATCGATTCCTTCCTCGGGCGCGTTTGCCGTTTGCCAAAAGGCCTCACTTCAAGGAGGCGGGGGGGGTCGAGGGCGCCGAAGAGAGTGTGGGGCGCGCTTGCCCCTTTGTAGGGGGCACCTCCCCCCACCGTTCCCAGGAGGAGGTGGCGACTCCCCTGGTGGTGACCTCCCTTGGCACCGCCTGGCTGAAGGAGGGCGATCGAGGAAAGACAACGACGAGGAGCACGATTGGCCGTGAACTTTCGGAGGGCAGCGCGGAGTGCTCCTGACCGGCGCTGGACCCCCATCCCTGGCGCGCAGAGGAGGGGAGGTGATCCTGCCCCCCGGCGGCGCCTCCGCGCAGGAGGAGGGAAGGGAGGAGAAGGGGCCGCAGCGAGAAAGCGGAGGGGTATATGATGCTGACGATGGTGGTGCGCGCTTGCCTATGTCCTGCCACCGTGGCCCGTGGGGTGTCCGGAGAGCTCCCTCGGGGGCCTCGCGGAGAGAATGGTCGGACCTCAAGGGGCCTCCGAGGGGCCTGTCGGGGGAGTCTCTTGGGATTCCGGGGGCTTCTCGGGGACTCCTCGGGCGCCCGCCGGCGATCTCAAGGCCGTGCTCCAGGCAGGGCTCCACACGCAAGTTCGGGTTCCCCCTCGTGGGGCCTTCTCGGGGGCCTCGGGCGCCCTCTTGAGAGGCCTCATCATGGGCCGTCGTGGAACTCTCTTCGAACGTCCTGGGGCGGACTTGGGGCGATCGTGGCGGCCTCCTTGGCTTGCCTGGGCGGTCAGAGGCCCGAAAAGGCGGGAACGCCAAAATCTGCAAAAACTATTTTTATCGCCAAAACAAAAAATCTTCAAAACTAATGAAAGCTTCAATGAAAACTGCCCCTGGGGGCTCTCTTGGGGGTCCTCTTGGAGCTCTCCGGGTCCGTCCTGCGCGCCTCTGGGGCCGTCTGGAAGCGGTGTCAAGGACCATCTTTCGAGGAGGGCTCCACCTGTGAGCTCGGAGTCCCCCTCGCGGGGCCGTCTCGGGGACCTGGGGAGCGTCCTGGGGCCCTCTTGGGACGTCTTGGAGCTGTCTTGGGAGCTTTCTGGGCGGACTTGGGGCGACCTCGGGGGTTGTCCTGGGAGTGTCCCAGAAGGACTTTGGGCGATCTCCTCGGCCTCCTTGGCTGTCCTGGGCCGTCAGAAGCCCGAAAAGGCGGTAACGCCAAGATCCTTCAAGAACCCTAGCAAAATAAAGTCTTGGAGCGTCCTGGGGCCCTCTTGGGACGTCTTGGAACCGTCTTGGGAGCTTTCTGGGCGGGCTTGGGGCGACCTCGGGGGTTGCCCCGGGAGCGTCCCGGCAGGACTTGGGGCGATCTCCTGGGCCTCCCTGGCTGCCCTGGGCGGTCAGAAGCCCGAAAAGGCGGCAGCGCCGAAAAATCCTTCAAAAACCCTTCAAAAAAATCCTTCCAAAAATCCTTGGCAACGCCAAAAAATCCTTCAAAAAATCCGCGGCAACGCCAAGAAAGCATGTTTGCCTCGTGGGGCCCTCCTGGAATCCTCCTGGAGCTCTCCGGGGCCGTGAAAGTAAAAGTGAAAGTGAAAGTCGGGGCCCTAAAGGCACTACTCTCTGGGGCCGTGTTGGCCGCCTCTGTGACCGTCTGGAAATCATGCTTAGCCATCTTGGCGGGCTCTTGGCCCGAAGCCGTCGAGCCTACCACCTGCTTGACGCCTGCTGGGGGCGCTCCTGGGCCGCTCCGGGAGCACTGAGGGCCGCGCCCAGGGTTTCCAGCACTCCTGGCGCTGACCCGGCTGGGGTGTTTGTTTTCTGGGGACACCCCGCGCGCGCGAACCAGAAAGATCCTGAACATATCACCAGAGAGCTTAGCACGCCTCTGGCCCGTTGGACCGACAAATCGATTTTCCTTGCTTCTGAAGCGTTCTCGCCTCTTCTGGTTTTCGACGCTCCAAGACGGCCTAGAAGGCCCCCAGAATCAACCCAAGATGGCCCAAGAGGTTCCCAAGAGCGCTCCCACACGGCCCAAGATGATCCCAAGACGGCCCAGGAGGCCTACAAGGCGGCCCAAGAGGACCAAAGACGGCTCCATAGAGCTCTAAGAGGGGCCCGAGAGAGGCCTCGGAGGGGGAACATGTCGAGCCCTTCGCCCCAAGATGGTCCGCGAGACCGCCAGCAGGCCCCCAAGAGGCCCCCCACAAGCTCCACGAGGCCCCCAAGAGGCCCAAATCAGGCCCGAAGAGGCCCCCAAAACACCCCCTGGAGGCCTCCAAGACGCCCCAAAGCCGAACCCGAGAGGCTTCCGAGAGGCCTCCCAAGAGATCCCCGAAGGCATCCCCGAGGCTTCTCTGACCCACAACCCAGGCACGGTGGCTAGGCTATCCCCCTCTCGGGGATGGACAGACCTCCCTTTAGTAAAACGTGGTTTAGTGAAAACGACCTCGGGCCCAAACCTGGCGGGCGCAAGCCTGTAAAATAACGGCCGCGGCGCCCTCTCGAGAACCGAACAAGGACAATTCACTAATCGACGTGTCAAGGTAGGAGGTCTGTCCACCCCCGACCCTCTCCTTCTCCACCTCCGCACCATGCTCCCCGCCCTGCACCTGACCTCGTGCAGCCCTCCCGTGGGCCGCTCAACCCTGCCCAGGGGTAGGGTAAGAGCGGTGGCGAGCCCGGGGGGGAAGCGAGAAGGGGCGGGCCTTCTCAGAAGGCCCGGAAGTCCCCGGCCCTCCTGAGAAGTTTTCTCGGCCTTCCCCCAAGACACAGGACACCTCCCAGAAGGCCGGAGGGCTGCCGAGAAGCCCCGGCGCCGTCTGTGAATGCCTTCTCCCTCTCACGTCCCCCCCTCGCCCGCCGCCGAGAAGAGGGCCACGACGGCGAGGGTGGAAGAGGGAGGGGGGATGGAGGGGGCACGAGGGACGGCGCGACGACGCCGACGACGAGGGAGGGAGCAAGAGGGAGGCCCAGGCACTGAAGAGGGACGAGGGACGCGGACCCACCGGGCCTCCTGCCCCTCTGGGAGGTCGCCTCCTCCTCCTCCTCCTCCTCCTCCTCCTCCTCCTCCTCCTCCTCCTCCTCCTCCTCCTCCTCCTCCTCCTCCTCCTCCTCCTCCTCCTCCTCCTCCTCCTCCTCCTCCTCCTCCTCCTCCTCCCCGGGGGTGCCGCGGGTGGTGGGCGGGCGCGTGGCGCACCGAGCGGCCGACGCCACCGAAGGGGGCCCTGGGACACACGAGTAACTACACGCAAGTCCCAGGATTCCCCATATTTTCCCATGCGTCTTTGATTTTCGTCTTTCGGGTCGGGCGAAAGGGGGGATAGCAAGGGGGGGGGTTTGAGAATCAGCTCACGTAGCTGATTTTCCCGCGCCTCCCGGCGCCGGAGGCGGCCATGTATCGAGGAATGGGCCCCTCGATGAGGCCGAAACCAGCTGCATGCAGCAAATTTCGTAACCCCCCCCCCTTTCCCAATCCCCCCCTCCCCCCCGGCCCGAGTCTTCCCCCCCCCCCCCCATATTTTCCCATATTGTCTGGGGAATCGACAACTACGTACTTGTGTCTGTGTGTTTATTTCCCTTCCGAGCCACCCAGAACAGGCGGCGGGATGGCCACGTCCGACTGCACGCAAAAGCAACCCCGGGCAAGGAGTGACCTTTGGTGCAAGGCTTGCGGGGGGGGCGCGGGGAGGCGAAGCCCGAGCGCGCCAGCCGCTCCTGTCGCATCGCATGCGGCCATCTGGGGGCCCCCAGTGTGCCCGCACCCAAAGTCACTCTGGCGAAAGATCGCTCTTACTGAAGGGGCCCCAGGACACACAAATAAATACACACAAATGAAACGATTCCCTATATTTTCTCATATTTTCTGGGTTTTTGTCTTCCCCCCCACTTCCCATATTTTCCTACATTTTCCTGGGAGTCGACGATTAATTGTGTCTGTGTGTTTTTGTTCCCCTCCTGACTTACGCGCAGTCGACACAGGCGTGGCTGCGTGCCTTACCACGCGGCGCGGTGCCGGGCGACTCGCTGGCGCCGGCGCCGGTCTGGCCCGACTTTTTCTTGTTTCTCCGCTCGCATCGCCGCGCCCTCAATCCGAGCGAGAGGCGATCCCAAACACAGAACTCAAAGCTTCGCCTTGATACTGCTCTAGACGGAGCGCTGCGGACAACGATCCATGGCGATCGCAGGCGCACGCCCCCGCCCCCCCACCCTCTTCCCCTGCCCCAGCCTCCCTCCCCCACCCTCTCGACCCAGACCCCCGAAGTCATGAAACCTTCACTCATGACGTCGACCCCCAGAGGCCTCGACCCAGTCCCCCAGACCGGCGTTTCGTCCTGAGTCGTTCTTGGACGGCCCCGAGGCCCGGCAAGAGCCCCCAGAGGCCGAGACTGGCGACCAAGCCTCCGTCGCGATGTCTTCGTGACTCCAGGGGTGTTCGGCGGCAGATCCGCCCGCCGGCGCCCGGCCTCTCCGCACCCTACTCGTCGGCCGCGGCCTCGTCGCCCTCCGAAGGCGCGGGGGAGCCCTGGACCTGCTCGCACAGGGTGCCGGCGCCCGGAGCCCGGGTGGGCACCCAGCCCCGCCCGTCGGCCAGCCGCAAGTGGATGATGCCGTCCTGGCAGCGCCGCTCCTCTCAGGAGAGGCCGAGTCCAGACGGGCACTCCGTGCGGACCCGCTCCCCGTATGGACCCAGCATCCTCTGAGATCCGACGTTGCGGAACAAAGCGAGGCATCGTCGAGGATCACGACCAGAACCCTATAGACCCCATGTTTCTGCATCGCTTTGCGAGCCGGATCGATATGTGAGGGCCCTGGGGCCCGCGAAAACCAGGCGAAAACGCCCTGCGTGGCAAAGTGGCAACGCCAGGATCTCAGGGAAGCCCCCGATCCTCCGAGACTTCGAACTCCTCGCCGGCGCGGAGGAAGAAGTCTCCCTGCGGCCCCTCCAGGTCGGGGAGGAGGCGCACCTCCAGGTCGGGCAGCGTGGCCAGGGTCTCGCCGCGGTCCCGCGGCCGAACAGGGTCGTACCTCCACAGCGTCACCGGCGCGTCGACCTCTGCGTCCTCCAGGTCCGTGCCGCTGTCGCTCCACTCCGCCGGCACCGGGATCTCGAGGAGCGCCGGCGGGATCCGCAGCGCCTCCTCCTCCTCCTCGTCCGCCGCGTCCTCGGAGCTGTGGCCTCCCTCCGCTGCTCCTAGAGGAGCGCCCGGCGGGCCCAGCATGCTCAGCCGGGGAGACATGCTCGGCCTAGGAGACATGCTCGGCCGCGAGCTCCGCAGCGGAGTGAGGCTCGGCCGACGCGACGTGCCCGGCGCCTCGACGGAGATGCCTCCGACGCGGGCCCCCGGAGGGCCAGCCAGCACCGTCCTGCGCGGCCTGGACTCCGACGCCTTCGAACTCCGCCGCGAGCTCACGCTCGCGGAGCTGGCGCGAGGAGAGCCTGACGGCAGCTGCAGGAGGCTGTGGGGCTGCCCCGCGAGTCCTCCTGTCAGCGCTGCCAGCCGCCTCTGACGGACGATGACCGAGGCCGCCGTGCCCAAGAAGCTGCCGTCGCACTCCGGACTCGAGAACACGGCCGCGACTTCCGCGCCGATCTTCTGCGTGCCATCGTCGGGGCTCTCCAGCAGCCTCAGCATCCGCTGCACGACCCTCTCGCTGCAGACCGGCGAGCCCTCGACGACCTCCACGAGGGTCTCCGCCACGGTCCGCCGCACCCTCGGGTCGAGGTGTACCAGCAAGTCGCTCAGCACATTCACGACGATCTTGCGACCCCTGCCCGCGGCTACGATCGCTTCCCTCGCGGCTGCCACTACCTCTTCGGCCTCGTCCTCCAGCAACGACGCCAGCGCCCGTGGAGCTCGCCGGCTTCTGCTGCGGGGCGGGCTGGACAAGGCCCGCAGGGCCGCGATGCCGTGGAGCCGCACCTCCGTGTCGTTGCCCTCCTTGCCGAGCTCTTCGGCCACCTGCAAGGCCGCGCGGCACTTCGGTGGCGCGGCGCGGGGCAGCACCGTGGCCAGCATGATCTTGACCTCCTCGTCCGCGTCCTGCGCGCAGCCGCGCAGCATCTTCACGGCGCGCACGAGGCCACCGCTGGCCTCCGCAATCGTAGCGACCGCCTGAACCGCCTTCCTGCGGACGCTCCAGTCCTTGTGCTGCAACCACGGCAGCAGGGACAACAAGGCCAGCCCCCTGGCCTCTGGGTCGGAGCCGTCCCCGATCATGCGGAGCGCGGTGGCAACTTCCCGGCGCCCTTGCCAGTCTGGCCTCTCCAGGAGCGCAGATGTACTCCTCGTGCTGGCCAGCGTCAGCATCGCCTTCTCTCTGTCCGCGCTGGGGCCCTCCCCCGCGCCCAGGCGCAGGCGCTCCAGCGACGCCGCGAGCGCCTCGCTGGCGGCGCGCCTCGTCCGCCAGTCGCCGTCGCCCAGCCGGGCCGTGGACGCGCCAGCGGCCGCCCCGAAGTTCCCAGCCGCCAGCGCGGTCAGGGAGCCCACCGCCGTTTGTCGCGCCTCCGGCGCGGCAGAGCCGAGGAGGTCGGCGGCGGCCTGCGCAGCCGCGTTGCTGCACGGCGACTCCAGGCGGGGGAGAGCGGCCACGGCCGCCTCGCGCGCCAGCCCTCCAAGCGTTCCTCCTGCCTTGCACGCCGCAGCCAGCGCCGAGGCCGCCGCTGCGCGCGAGGCACTCTGCGCGGCCGCGGCGGCGAGGGAGTTCCGCCGGGACTGCTGCTCCGACGCTCGCCGCGACAGGCCCGTCGACGTGTCCCCGAAGTTGCTCCGAGACCGCCTGAGCGCGGAGTCGTCTCCGTGGCGGCGCCCCTTGCCGCGCGCCGCGGCGCCCGGCTCGCAGGGGGGGGGCCGCCCGGGCTCCAGGAGGTGCGCGCCGTCGCCAGCCTCCGGGGAGGCGCGCAGCTGCGGCGGCGGCCTGCTCGCCACCTGCTCCAGGGCCTCCACGGCCGCCTGGCTCACGCGCCAGTCTGGGTCCCCGAGGCCCCGGGCCACCGCGCCCACGGCGGCTTCCCCCGAGCCGGCAGCGCCCAGCGCTCGGGCGGCGGCCCGCCTCACGAGGCCGTCCCTGTCCGCAAACCACGCCGAGGCGGAGTCTTGGAGCACGGGGCCCCCCTTCGGCGACAGGCAGAGGACGGCCTCCGCCCGCGAGCGGCGCTCCGCCGTGGAGAGGCACTCCCGGAGGCCCGGCAGCACCTCCGCCAGGGCCTCCACCACAATGCCCTCGGCCTGCGAGCGCTCCCCGCCAGCGAGGCCCTGCAGGGACCGCAGCGCCGAGCGCCGCACGGCCTCGCTCGGGTCGCCCAGTGCCTCCAGCTGGGCCGCCAGGGCCGGCCGGTGCCCCGCGGCGGAGGCCGGGGCGAGGGCCTCCACGGCCGTGCGCCGCAGCGCGCTGTCCGACAGCGCGCGCTCGTCCCGCAGCGTGCGCACCAGCCGCCGCTCCGAGGCCGCGTCCTCGCCCTCCGCCCTGCGGAGGCGGTGGCCCCAGCGGCGCGCATCGCGGGTCCTGAGGCGCCACTCGCCCTGCTGCTCCAGCGGCGTGGGGGCCCGGTCTGGAGGGCTGGCCGCGCGGAGGGCCTCGGAGGGCACGGCCTGCGCCTCGTGCATGGCGGCCGCGGCCGCGGCGGCCAGCGCGCTGGAGTTGGCCTGCCTGGTGGCCTTCATGAAGGCCACCGCCTTGCGCTTCACGCTGGGCGGGCCTGCCGTGCCTGGCGTGGGCTTCTTCCTCCCCGCGGCCGCCGACGCCATCCGCCGCCGCCCTCTCGAGCCCCCCTAAGGGGGCCGGCAGGGGGGCGCGCCACCTCCTTGGGAGGGGACCCCTGCGGGGGGCGGCCCTGGCCTTGAGCCAAAGCGGCTCCAGACGTCTGGCATTCCGTCGATATCCCCTCCGTCCTCCGCCCCTCTTCCTCCCCGGCTTGCCCGCCTCGGTGCTTCTGCTTGTCCCGCGCCTCCGTTTACCGCCCGGTCAACCGCCGAGGGCAACAGCTTTGCTTTGCCCGTGCTCCGACTCGAGGTGGCCAACCATATAGCCCAGAGCGTGCCCCGCCACTGCTGCCCCGACGACTGGAGCCGCGAGCGACCAGCGCGTCGCAAGGGCAAAGCCTCGCCACACGGAGCAATGAGATGACCCAGAATTCCAGCGTGGCTCGATTCCTTCCCAGACTTCTGGACCCCTTCCCCAGGACCATCGTTTCGTGAAGAGCCCCCAGTGGCCGGATAAGATGGCAAAACAAGCACGTCAGCAAGACAAAAAGAAAGAAAACACGTCCGTTGCGGTTTGCTCACGCTGCGGGGAGGGCTGAGCTCCAAACGTGATGTGTTCACGACGGGCCGGCTTCTCGTCCCGTTCGGTTTTAGGACGGCCCCCGGGCCCGCTACCCTCCCCCCGAAAGACGGAAGATGGCCCAAATGTCGGGAAGCGATCACCATGTCTTCGGACAGAAACCATGGAGCAACACGCTGACGGGCTACCAACGCCCTCTTAGGGAGTCAGACTTCTGGGTGCCAGAGTCCGCGAAGGGAAAAAACAAACCAACAAGCCAGAGAAAAAGCCTGGCCCGAGCCAAGAACTCCCCGAGGAGTAACCCCAGAAAAGAGGAAGAACTGGCGCTCGAGGAAAACACGGCCCCGAGCAAGGGAAGCCCCAGGAATCGAGCACACCTCTCTCTGACCCCCACGAGGCTGCGCCCCGCTCCCGCAGGCGAAGGGCCTGCCTCCCCAGGCCCCCGACGTCATGTGCTTCCTGAAGGGGCCCAGGCACGTACAAATAGATAGGCACAAATCCCAGGATTCCCCACATTTTATATATATATATATATATATATATTGATTGGATGCTCGTTTTTCCCCCCCCCCCCTTTCCCACATTTTCAAATATTTTCGGGGGAATCGACGATTCACTGCGTCTGCGCGTGTTCTTGTCCCTCCTGAGAGTCGTCCTGTTGACGGCCCCCTGGCCCGGCGAGGGCCTCAGGCGCCAAAAAGATCACGAAACACCTGCCGCCACGACAGGCGTCCACGACGCCAGGGAGTCCCTCCGCCACCTCCACCACCACCTCCACCACCACCTCCACCACCACCACCACCACCACCACCTCCTCCTCCTCCTCCTCCTCCTCCTCCTCCTCCTCCTCCTCCTCCTCCTCCTCCTCCTCCTCCTCCTCCTCCTCCTCCTCCTCCTCCTCCTCCTCCTCCTCCTCCCTCCTCCTCCTCCTCCCTCCTCCTCCTCCTCCTCCTCCTCCTCCTCCTCCTCCTCCTCCTCCTCCTCCTCCTCCTCCTCCTCCTCCTCCTCCTCCTCCTCCTCCTCCTCCTCCTCCTCCTCCTCCTCCTCCTCCTCCTCCTCCTCCTCCTCCCTCCTCCTCCTCCTCCTCCTCCTCCTCCTCCTCCTCCTCCTCCTCCTCCTCCTCCCTCCTCCTCCTCCTCCTCCTCCTCCTCCTCCTCCTCCTCCTCCTCCTCCTCCTCCTCCTCCTCCTCCTCCTCCTGCCAGGACAGCCGCCGGGACTCCCTCGCAGCGCGACGACGCGGGGAGCATGGCGCCGCGGCTCCGTCGGCGGGCCGCGGCGTCGGCGAGGCACTGCGGCGGCGCCGCCGCAGGGCCCCCAGCGCGGCACCAGACGCTTTCGTGGCGCCGGCCCCCAGGGGCTCGGGTGCCACTTCCCCGGGCGCTGCCCGGAGAGCTCTCGTGTTGGGGGGAAGGGGTTGGGGCTCTTCGTGCCTGGCGCGTCAGCGTCGCAGAGTAAGCTCTGATGAGTTGCAGCGCTGGCGCTTGTCGCCATGTGTTGCTGGATTCTCTGGTTGACTGTTTGAGTGCAAGACTGCTATCTCTGGCATGCTTCGGCGTGCCAGGGCTCAGTGGTTGAGTACAAACCTGGTTGATCCTGCCAGTAGTCAAATGCTTGTCTTAAAGATTAAGCCATGCATGTCTCAGTGTAAGCTTCTATACGGCGAAACTGCGAATGGCTCATCAAAACAGTTATAGTTATTTGATGCTGTGCAACGAGCGCCTTCAACATACGCAGTAACCCCGAGATCCGACGTAAATCACCACCGGGGCCCCAGGCCCAATCCCTCTGCGCCATTTTTCGAGCCAGATCGATCTGTGCGGGTCCCAGGGCCCGAAATGCGGCGAAAACGCCCGCTGTGAAAACATTGCAGCGCCAGGATCTCAGGGCACGCGGTAGTGTTAATGATATGATCACGTCTCCCGACCCTTAGGAGGCAACTACTGGAAGGTTTTCGTCGGATTGATTAAAGAAGATTAAGCCCCATTGGGGGGCTGTTATGCTGGAGTGGGCCTCGGATTAAGCCAGATTAACTGAGCGGGATTAAGCGGGATGAAGCCGGATTAAGCGGGATTATAAGCCTGGCTAAGCGGGATTAAGCCGGATTAAGCTGGATTAGGCCGGATTTCGGCCCAGGGCAAAAACAGAATTTGACCTCCCAGGAGTTTCGGGAGCAGCCAAGAGGGGGGTGTCCACGAGGGGGGAGTGCAAATCATGACCGGCGGCATGTGCGCGGCCAAGCGGGGGGGGGGTCCAGGGACGCAACGAAATAAGAAGGGGCGTCCTGAAAGCTGGGGAAATGTCATGGCCCCCGCCATGATATCCCCCCCCCCTACCCTGACCTTCCAGAGTGCTAAAAAAAAGCCCTCCAGACCTGTAGACCTATCTGGGCTGCCTAAAACCTCGACAGGAATTAAGGTATCGAGGTCCTGGTGTTATTTTTTAGCCCTCCTGGAAGGTCAGGGTAGTCATCACCCCCCTCCTTGCCGCCCCCGAGAGCTGCCTCCGAACGACCCCTCCCCCCGACTGGAGAATGACCCTTCCGCCGAGCCGCCGTGCCGTGGCGGCCCGGGAGGGGGGGGGGGGCGGGACGCACATGGGAGGCCTGGAAAGGGGCACCAACACCAAGACGGAGGGCTGCCTCCACAGGGGGGAGAGGTGATCCTAGATGTCGGTGCTGGTGGTAAGATTTCGGCCAGCTTGGAAGCCAGATAATATTACCACCGTCACCGAGATCGGGATCGTCTTCCCTCGGTGGAGGAACACCGCCGATCTTGGTGTTGGTGTCAACCTCTAGGCCTGCAAGCATAGGGCCCCTGCGGAGAGGCCCACGGCGCCAACACACCCAGGCCGCGCCTGGCTACGCCCAGGCCGCGCCCCGCGGCGCGCGGCGTTGCGCAGGGACCGGCCGTCCCGGCATTCCTCCTCCTCCTCCTCCTCCTCCTCCTCCTCCTCCTCCTCCTCCTCCTCCTCCTCCTCCTCCTCCTCGTCCCTTCGCCTCCTCCTCCTCGTCCCTTCGCCTCCTACTTCTCCTCCTCCGCCTCCTCCTCCTCCTCCCACCTCCCCGAAGCGGAGGCGGCGGCCCACGCGCGTCGGGGAACCCAAAAACGTTCCAAGAACAAAAGCAGTGTTCTTAGAAAATAGGCCCGCTGTGACAAAGCAAGACAGGCTCCGCCAGAAATGTTCTAAGAACATTTCGTGGGAAACCACAAAGGGGTCTTAGAACTTTGTTTGATAGGGCTATGGGCGAGCCAGGACGCTTCGCCACTGCTTGACGGCGGCGCGCACGGGGGGAGGGGGGTGGAGGGGAGGAGGGAGAAGGCTTCTCTGAAGGTAAAACAAGGCTAGGATCGGGATAAATCGCTCCAGAGCGTTCCGGAGCGCTCTCAGAGCGTTCCGGAACGCTCTGGAGCGGCCGCGGCGCCCAATTCATCCTCCTCCAAACCCGCCGATTCTCAGAGATTTCGAATTATCCCGATCCGATTTTGTCCCGATCTTCGCGTCGTTTTGGAAGGGCCCCAGGGGCGCACAAATAGATACACAATCCCAGGATTCCCCTTATCTTCCCATATGTCTTGGACTTCCGTTCTCCCCCCCGCTTCCCATATTTCCCCGTATTTTCTGGGGAATCGACGATTCATTGTGTCTGTGTTCTTTCCCCTCCTGATTCTTAGAACCCTGAGAACCTGGCGTCGCAATTTTTTCACATCGGGCGTTTTAGCTCACTTATCGGTCCGGCTCGAAAAATAACGGAAGATGGGGTCCGGGGCTCTGGTGGTGATTTTTTGCGATGTTACAGTTTTTGCAACGTCGGATGTTGCAGTTTTTGCAACGTCGGATCTCAGGGAAGGAGGCTGCTTCCTAGCAGGCGCGGGCCCCACCGATGTAGACAAGGCCAGCGCCCTGCAAGAAGCAGCCTCCGGCTAAGAAGCCTCCTCCCCCCTCCCCCAGTACCCTGACCTTCCAGAGTGCTAAAGGATAGCCCTCCAGACCTATAGACCTGTCTGGGCTGCCTCAAACCTCGACGGGAATTCAGATACCGAGGTCCTGGTGCTATCCTTTAACCCTCCTGGAAGGTCACGGTAATTACCCCCCCCGTGCGCGCCGCCGAGATGCGCGACGTGCGAGCATCTTCGCGCCCTCGCGCCCTCGCGCCCCCCCCCCCGGGGAGGAGGGCCACAGCGCCCGGGCCCAGGCCGCGGCGCGCGGAGAGCGCCTATGCTCCCCACGCCTCCCGGAGAGCTCGACCACTTCGCGAGGATCCCGGGAACGTGGCGTTGAGGCCAACGTTGAAGGGGCCCTGGGACACACAAAGAAGTACACACAAATAAAAAGATCCCCCTATCTTCCCATATGTTCTGGGTCTCTGTCTTCCCCCCCACTTCCCCTATTTTCCCATATCTTCTAGGGAATGGACACTGAATTGCGTCTGTATGTGGTTTTTCCCTCCTGGCCAACGTGTGCTTGTCCACCGAAGCCATTCGACACGACGCAGGCGGTGCAAATGAGGGCCGGCATGAGGCCTCGTGCTATCGGCGGAGGTGAACGCGGCAAACACACGTTTGACTACCTACCAGACCACCCCAACCCAACCCGAAGACCTGAGTTTGACCCGAATTTCGGGTTGGGGGGGTACGGGTTCCATGTGTTTTTTCAGTGTCCCCCGACCCCCCCCAACTGGAAATGGAGAGTAAATTGAAGCCTTCGGGTTGGGTTGGGGTGGTTTGGTGAGTGGTGAACGTTGGGCTAGCACACTTCCTGGGGATCATCGAACTTCCCCCAGGGCCGGCTGTTCGTCCTGAGTCGTTGTCGGTGACGTTCCCGGGGCCCGGCGAGGGCCCCCAGAGGCCGAAGACCTTCACAAGCCGTCCGTCGTGCTCTTGTCACGGTACGAGGGGTGAGCATGCTGCTACGCACGAAACGAGTGCCAACGAGAAGTGTCAATGATGAGGCTATGATGCCTCTTTCGACTTTGAGCTGGCCACGGTGCCCGCGGGAATGTCGCGTGCACGGGGTGCTGTCTTAGCATTGGCTATGACTTCCGCGCCCTTCGTCTCCCCCCATTGCTTCCCCTCCCCCCGCAGAACGGCGCCGCCAGTGTTTAGGAGGAGAAGGAGGAGGAGGAGGGGGAGGAGGGGGAGGGGGGGAGTAGGAGGAGGAGGAGGAGGGAGGAGGAGGAGGACGAGGAGGAGGAGGAGGAGAAGGAGGAGGAGGAGGAGGAACGCTGAGCTTTAATGTTTGATCCGCTTGTCATGTGCCCATGCGCAGCAGGAGCGCTGAGCCTTGCCTCCTTGCTTGCTTGCCTGCTTTGCCTGCTTGCTTGGCCCGCTCGCTCGTGACCACCCCCTTGCCATCGCTCGGACGTCCCTTCCCCGTGCACGCTTCGACCTCGTGCGTGCCTATCTTTCCCGAGGTGGGCCAAAATGCTCCTCGATGGTCTTCGCCTAAAAAACAAAAACAAAAAAACAAAAAACAACAACAAAAAAAAAACACGTCCGAGCGATGCCGAGCCCCGTCTTCCAGGACTCGGCATCCCCCTGGTGCTGGTGGGGGTGGCAGGAGAAGCCGCCACCCTCGTGGGCTCTGCACGCGCGGAGCCGGGCTCGCGGGCATCCGGCTCGACCCCCCGCGGCCATCTGCGGTGGGAGGTGCGAAAGATCCGAGGCCCCATGGAAGGGGCCCCAGGGACACACAAACAAGTAGACACAGATAACAGGATTCTCCCCATAGTTTTCCCATATTTTCTGGACTTCCGTCGACCCCCCGAGGCCACCTGCGATGGGAGATGCGAAAGATCTGAGGCCCCATTGAAGGGGCCCCAGGACACACAAAGAAGTAGACACAGATAACAGGATGTTCTCCATAGTCTCCCGTATGTTCTGGGCTTCTTGTCTTCCCCCCCACTTCCCATCTTTTCCCATATGTTCCTGGGGGTCGACGACTAATTGTGTCTGTGTGTTTTTTCCCCTCCTGAGTCTGGCTCGACCCCCCGTGGTCAGCTGCGATGGGCGATGCGGAAGGTCCGAGGCACCGTGGCGCCCTCGCTGGAGCGGCGCCGCCGGGCGCGGAGCCGAAGCCCGCGCGGGCGCGAGGAGGCACGAGGCACCGATACGGCTACTCCCTGGACCCTAGGGCTCCCAACTCCGCGCTGCGCGCTGCGCGAGGCGCGAAGTGCGAACAACTTCGCGCTCTCGCGCCGCCTCCCAGGGGAGAAGAAGAGGAGGGCGAGGAGGAATCGGAGCCGAACCGCGAAGTGCGAGGCGCGAACAACTTCGCGCCCTCGAGGGCGCCCTTGGGACCTCTCCCCTGGCGCATTACGACAAGAGTGTCGAGGAGAATCCAGCCGTCGCTACAGGGGCTCTCCAGGACGAGCAGCGGCATCGGTCTCTGTTCCTCCTGTGAGGGCGGCCGCCTCGGACGGGGCCGTCGCCGGCTGGCGCGGCGGCGGCGGGCAGTCCCAGAGGAACAGAAACGGCATAAGCATAAACTTTCGGAGGTCCGCGCGGACTTCTTTAGGGGGCCACTTGCGAACCCTACCCCTACCCCCCACGATTTCTGAGGGGGAGGGGGGGGTTCACTTCGTTCGGGAGCTCCCGAGCGAAGTGAACCCCACCCTCCCCCCCCAGAAATCGTGGGGGGTAGGGGTAGGGTTCGCAGGTGCCCCCCTAATAAACTTTCGGAGGTCCGCGCGGATTTCTTGGGTCGGCACTGAGACCCCTGCCCCAGCGCGGAGCGCGCCAGGGACGGCGCAGGCGGCGCCGCCAGGGGGGGGCACCAGAGCAGATCGAAGGAATCCGCGCGGAGCTCCGCAAGTTTACACTTCTGCCGCTTTTTTCTTCGAAGTCCAGCGGGCGCACGGAGCCATCAGTCGCCGTCGTCGTCGTCGTCGTCGTCGCTGTCGTCGTCGTCGTCGTCGTCGTCGTCGTCGTCGTCGTCGTCGTCGTCGTCGTCGTCGTCGTCGTCGTCGTCGTCGTCGTCGTCGTCGTCGTCGTCGTCGTCGTCGTCGTCGTCGTCCGTCGTCGCCGCCGCCGTCGTCGTCGTCGCCGCCGCCGTCGTCGTCGTCGTCGTCGTCGTCGGGGGGAACGGGCGGCCGCCTCGGACGGGGCCGTCGCCGGCTTGCGCGGCGGCGGCGGGAAGTCCGCCGGGCGCACGGAGCCACCCGAGGGGTCGTCCTCGAAGGGGAAGGGGAGGAGTAGGAGGAGGAGGAGGAGAGGAGGAGTCGAGGATCGGGGTCGTCCTCGGGCGCCACGGGCGGGGGCGGCCCCGGCGCTGGCTGCTCGGCGGCGGGGGCCTCGGAGACGCGCGCGGCCTCCTCGGAACTCTGCCGCGC